AATTGTATGCTATAAAGTAAAACAGAAAATGCCAAGAAATCATCATAATGACAACCAGAACATTGCAGTAAACGAAACAACTGCTTGTAATAGAACACACAAACCTGCAGAGACTTATCAGCAACACTGCTGCTCTGTGGAGATCTTCAACCTCTTTCAGGTGAGTGCTTTGGTTTACATGGCACATTTATGATATGATTTAGTTTCTCCTTATCCTTGTTCCATGGTACGCAGCAGTTTTCATTTAAAAAATAAAAAATAAAAAATTGATATAAAGTCATGGGAAAAAACAGGTGCATCCCATGCCTTTGGTAACTGATGACTTTTTAATTATTACAAAACATGCACACACATCATTCACATGGAGAACGTAAGCACAATCCAGCATTCGTCACCATGTCATATTCTGCTCAAAGTAACAGCAGACATGTATGTTGCAAACCACAGACAGCTTTTCAAGAGAAGAACTTCAAACTGTGAAACATGGTGCTGAAAATGTTGCAGTTTATCACTCATTTGCAGTCATGGTTTCAGTTGTTCATTTTGCATCACATTAAAAAGTACTTCAAGAACCATCTGTCTAATAGTTGACATAAGGCTTTCAGGAGGAAAATTATCTGAAGCACTCAAGAAAATAATAAAAAAAAAAAAAAAAAGAAAGAAAGCGTTAAAGAATGACCCAGTCAAAGCCCAGAATTGAATCACATTCAAATGTTGTAGGAGTACATGAAAGAAAAACCGGAAGCATCTTGCAGCTGAAGGAATTTTACATTGGGAGAGTAGTCAAAAATGTATGGGTTTACAATTATGCAAAATGCCTGCTCTGTTACATCAGGAAACACAAACGTCTGAGGCCAAGTGTATACTTACTTTTTTTCACAGAAGAATGTTGCATTTGATAAAGCTGGTGTTGTTAAGATGAGACAAGAAGAGATGAGATGAGATGAGATGAGATGAGATGAGAAGAGATTAGATGAGATGAGATGAGGCTTAGAAGAAGCAAGACAAGAATTATAAGAGTACATAAAGACCAAAAATAAGTCTATAATAAAAAAAATATATTTACACCTTAAACACCACATGTACAGATGTGGCATGATGAATTTACATATGGATATGTACATGTATGGCATGATGGATAATGTACCCAATAGGACACACATGTATAAAATGGTACTTTTATACAGAATAGCAGAGCTACAATTCTGTTTTTGTGATCAAAAAGCTATGGAGAGCATAGAAATGATATTATTGCATATGAAAAGCTGTTAGAGAACAGTGTTTTAGTTTATTATTGAACTGGAACAGCTATGAATAAAAACGCGGCGGTACATTTTGTTGTTATGGAGAGAAAAAAAAAAGTTATTTCATGATGTTTTACACTTAAAGAGCTATGAAGAGAAAAACTATACTTGAAGCCTGTACAGAGGAACCAGTATTTAAAGAGATGTTGTTGCACTGAAAAATCTGTAAAAATAAAAATAAAAAACACAATATATGATAATTTTGTCATCTGTTGAACTTCATCTCTTTTATCTATAAGCACTGTATCAAAGAGGATGAGATGTTTGCTTGTTTAAACATGTTGAAAAAATGAAGAATTTCAATATGATGTTTTCATCTTTGCATTGTATTTACTGTGTGCTACCTGCTCAGGAATGCACAGTAATTTGTGCGAAAAAGTGCATCAGCTTTACAGGATGGTAATAGTTGTGGACTGTGTCTTTAACTTCCAGTTTGTAGCCTCTAATGGCCAGAAATCAATTGATACAGTCTCCAGATTCTCCAGACATTCCCCAGGAGGCTCCTGTCGTAAATACAGGATATCCTGTAATTTGCAAATCTGGATTGCATTCATTAATGAATATCCATAAAGTCATCGTATTTCACAGACAGATTTGCAAAATAAGCACGTTATGTAATTGTGCCACGCAGACAACAACTCTACGTAGGCGGGCTGTTTCTCAATTTCGGCAGTGGTCACACAGTAAACACCTTTGATTGCTAATCTCATTATCTCTCTACAAAGGAGCCAAGGTCTTGTGAAAATTCTGAATCAACATCACAAAAGATTTTGAAAGCCAAGCATGAAATATGTGCAGATCGTCTCAGCCACCACACACAAACCTCATTTAATGAGCTCCTGACAAGCAGGTGGGGAGAGACGTTTGCCGGAAGGTCACATATGCTACAGATTCACAAGAACTTCCAACCACAAAATCCCCCTAAAGGCAACGGATAGACCTCTGCCAGAAGTTTGTGTTAGAAATCCTATAATTAAAGCTTTTTCCTCAGGCACAATAAATTTGCCTCCCTCTCAAAACAAAAAATGAGAGGACCAGCCAATTCATTTAAAAACAACATGATGTCAACTTTAACTTTTATTTGTACAGTTATGTATATTTGACACAGTAATTTATTTTATTTTATAGAACCTGGGTAAATTATGCGTTTACTTTTGCACTGTACTGTAAAAAACACAGGCCTACATGGTAGAAAATCAGGCAATACAGCAGCTTTGGACGTAAATAGAAACTTATGGCTTGCCAAGAAAAGCTAGTTTTTACATTTAGCTGAAGAAATAATGACAACTGTAAATTACGATTTACTGGCATTCATTTTTCTTTTTTTTTCTTTTTTTTCTAGTGTCCTCCTTACAAATTTGACTGCACCATAAAAATGTCAGCCACTTGCACTGGAAGAAAAGGTCAAAACAAAACATAGAATGTTGCAAACAAGTTGCACAAAAACACAATTTGTCATAAACATTATGCCAAGAATATAATTTTAGAGAGACTTCCCAGACCGCATTGGTAGCTGTTTCAAAGCACATTTTATGAGCCATTTCCTTCCAACTATAATAACAGCTCGGTTTGTAATAATTTAGTGCCTTCTCTTTGATCAATAAATGTCATCTGTCAACATATATGTCTCATTAAAATTGTAAATTGCTGACAGTAAAGAGAACAGCTAAACTGTGACAGGCCAGCTGTGATGATGGCCGTATTGTAGCTGTGGCAGCTTTTAAAGCTTCCAAGTTTCCCACCGAAGCACCTACAGTGACAGTTTGCCGTCAGACAAGGTTGAGAAGACGTCTGTATTTGTTTTTTTGTTTTTTGTTTTTAATCAGCTGCAGGGGGAGGCCTCGAAATTGAAAGTTGCTTTAATCTTTTTCATTGTTGCAAACTGTAAACACTTGGTATCTACTACAAGAAAAAAAGCACATGAAAATAAAAATGAGCTCCTCTGTGGTTTAACTTAAAAAAAGAACCTCATTAAACAAGTGTGAAGCTAGGATGGGACCAGACAGAATGGCTGTGTGTTTGCTGCTGTTAAAGTTGTGGGGGAGAAGGCTTGGACACACAAAACCAGTTCACACAAACCACTGGATCAAAATATCCCACAAATAATCACAGAGGACACTGGCAGGAAATGCCATTAAATGCCTTTAGACCACTCCAAATTCAGCATTAATGCAATGGTAATACAGTGTAAATAGGATTTAAAACAGCACACAAGCCTCACCTTTAGCCCCTCATGTTTCTTATTAAATAAACAACTAAGTACCACAATAAAGTGTCACACAAACTTTCCCAGCTTTTATTTCATGTGATAACAAAATGAACACAAAGACATTTGACTACTGACATCATTGATAACAATCGAAACAGCGGCCAGGATTCTGCAAGTGTGTACTTTATGAAAGCGTTCCTGCTCAAGAACCTACTTTCTCTGTTGTCTAAATGTTCACATCAATCACTTTTTCAGGAAGTTTTTTCCTGTCTGCTCCTGCTTGTTGGCTGCTTATCAATGAAGTGATTTGTTTTGTACTTTATAGTGATCCTTCTGACACACGCGTTGACTCATTCGGTTACTGAGTCACTCATTCACCAAGTTCCACACATCATAATGCAGGTCTTTCTTTTGTCCCTGTTAAATAATTTTCTGAATCACTGGATTTCTGTAGCGCTGCAAGTTCAGTTTCTGAACAATACATTTTGAAATGTAACCATTTAAAATACAGAACTATGTGGTTTGGGGGGGAGGGTGCCAGTTTTGTATGAAATGTTGCTGATTCGCGTCCCGGTGGGGGCACTTTCTGCGTGGAGTTTGTATGTTCTACCTGTGCAGTGTGGGTTCTCTCCGGGTTCTCCAACTTCCTCCCACACAGTCCAAAAACATGGTGAGGTTAACTGGTGATTCTAAATTGTCTGTAGGTGTGAATGTGAGTGTGCTTGGTTGTCTGTCTCTAAGTGTAGCCCTGGTGACCTGTCCAGGGTGTCCCCTGCCTTCGCCCGAAGTCAGCTGGCATAGGCTCAACCCCCCCGTGACCCTAGTGAGGATTAAGCGGTGTATAGATAATGGATGGATGGATGGATGGAAGCCTGTACACCAAAATGAATGCACAACAAATACACATTTTGGCAGAACTCTATAGTTTGCATAATTTTATTATCTGCAGCTCTTCAAGTACAAGAAGGTTTTGGTTAGGGTCACTGGCGGTTACATGTTACCTCTTGACTCTCGAGCTCTAAAGACATATCACCTTGTGATAGACTGGAGACCTGTCCAGGGTGTCCCCTGCCTTCGCCCTAACTTGGCTGTGATTTCTGAAGGTTTGTGAAGATTGCATTATCTGTTTTTGGAAATGAACTCTTCAAATGTCAAATCTAATGTAAGCAACTTCAGGATTTTCTAATTAGAATTGTAATTTTTTGTAATAATTACTCATATCATAATACTATTATTGTTATCGAGGAGGCCACAGACCAAAGCCTCAAAGTTGAGCCAAGAATTTCTTAAATATCCAGAAAAAAAAAAAAAACAAAAGAAAAAAAAACACCCCTTTGTAAGGACTCCAATCACTCTTGGGCAATCTGTTTTTATATACCTGCGCTGTTTATGTTGGCAGTTGTGATTGTGGAGTGAACCTCTTCATACTGCGGCTCGTCAGAGGGCGGCTCTTTGACTGTTTTTTACGCATCATTATAAAGGCTTAACTCCCTCCCTCTGCGCGCTGTGTCGCTCCTCCGCTGCGAGCCCTCACAGCCTGGATCTATGTTGTAGATAGATGGGCTATATGCCACACGCCGCCAACCTACAGGCTGCAAAGATTCGAAGTTTGATTTCACGTTTTTTGCCGTTCCTCCTCTACTTCTTCTTTGGGCTTTTTTCTCCTCTGCTTGGATACAGCTGACTTACGCATTGGATATGTGCACACAGGATGATGACAACCCCTTTCCTCCCCGTAGAAGTAAAATAAAATAGGCTTTCACACACACTGGATTTACTCCTGTCATTCCATATGAAGAAGTCAAAAGTAAGTGGCTGCGTTCGTTTGTTTGTTTGTTGTTTGTTTATTTGCTCACTTGAGGGAATAAACAGTTGACACGGAGGAGCGGGACGCGTTCCTGTGGCTCTCGAGTAATCGGAAAGCACTTCAGACTTGGCACGGTGGTTTTTTTTTTTCTTTTCTTTTTTTCTTACCAGTTCTGGATTTCGCCGACTTTTATAAGGCAACAGCTTTTCAGCAGTTGCATATATGATCGTATACGAGTGACAGCAGGAGCGCAGTGACGCGGCGGCTCCTCCATAACTGTGGTGTGGCTTCATGTGGTGACAATGTGGCAAACATGTTTTCCTCCTTAAAGCCATGTTTATTAAAACCCTCTGCCTGTTGGTGCACAGTTTGTGTCACGGCGTCTCCTATTCGGTTGGATCCGTGCGAAGAGAAGCGCTGGAGCCTCTGCGGACAGTTTGTGAAGCGACGCCAGTCCTGTCACTTCACGGGTTCCACGTCTGAGGACGGATTGCGCTGTCACTTTAGTTTTTATCCTCAAAATGACAACATTTGTCATCATAGATGTAGCGCAGCATGAAAAAGTCACTTTACGCGCCGTTCTCTTCGTAGAAAAGCGTTTATTCGACTTTAAACGCATTTGTAAAGTTCCAAATTGACTGTAAATTGAGTTCTAGTTAGAGTAAATTCGCAAATAGCTGCTTTCCTGAGAATTAAATTCTTCAGGATTACATGACTTGATTTATCCACCTCGCAAATGATAATAATAATAATAATAATAATAATAAGAAGAAGAAGAAGAATAAGAAGAAGCAGCAAAATGAACAGAATGTGTGCCTCTCAGCTCCTTCTGTATTTCTGTGTATGTAAATGCACCTTTGTCAGATTTGTGTTCTCAAACTGCCAACTATCCAAAGACAGTTTATCTGCATTTTCATCCTCTGGCTCAAGCTGCTCTCCAGGTTATTCATCAGCCTGCTCTGTGCAGAGAGAAGCCACTCTGTCTGCTTTAAGATTGCTGCCGGGCCAGCTTAGGCTCTGTGTCTGCAAGCCCTGACACCATAATCTGCGGCCTCTGACATAGCTGACCTAAAAATGTGCAAACTGAAGAGGGAAGACTTATTTTTAAGCTTGCAATACTGTTTCTGGCAAACAGATTTCTATGTTTCATCTCTGCCTTCCACCAGAAGTTATCATTTTTGCCACTGTGGTGTGTAGACATACATACATGGAATCTTTGATCTTTCCTCCTATACCAGCTGGAGATCACCTCCAGGCCAGCAACTGCTACTAAATGGAAACATCTTTGCAAAGTGAAAATGTATTTTCTCCCTAATTACAACCCCAGTGAACATCTCGGTGCAATGCTGAGCAGATAATTGATTTTATACAGCGCACACAGGAGGCTGTCTAAATCTTTGGAAGGTTTAACCTGCATCTCATCCCCTGGCTGTGAAACTGAACCGTGAGCATTTCAGGTTTTTCTCAAATTATGCCTCACTCTGCTTGCACCAACTTAAGCCCACTTTAATCACTAAATCTGATTTTTTTAAAAACAAAAACATAAAAGGACGTGTATTAATATGGATATAACAGGGTGTGTTGGTGTGTGTACGTGCGTTCATCAGGGAATAAAAGTCTTTGAAGTTTCCTGGAGAAAGGGTGGGCATCTCTGCCACCGTTATTCATATTCTCAGCTCAGTTTCCTTCATGCTTGTTAATGAACTTCTACAGTTGGTTGTGTTGTGTGCCTGGCTGCATTAACTCGTACCTTTCATCTTTTATTTATGTAGTCACATTGCCACAGCTTATGGTGCTTCCCCCTGTCACATAATCACAAACAGAAAATAGGTGAAGGTGTCCTGTGTTTACTTTAATCCTGTGACTCCTTAGATAGTAAAATGGAAGCATCTCTACTGCTCCTCATTCATTCTTTTTATATTTCCATAGCGGAACAAAGCACATAATAGTAGATTTATAGTAGACTGATCATGACTGAAGTTCTAACCAGACAGTGTAAGACTTAGTTCTACTCGAATGAGCAGACTCTGACATCTAAGTCAAGCTTTCTGAGGCTACTTTTAGCATGCGAGGTCTGAGAGAGGAAAAGTGCGAAAGCATGTGTTGAACTTAACAGAAGATTTAGCACCAGTAGGGAGCGCTAGTTTTCTGATGCCAGTCACGCTTTGACGCCTCGGGCTGTGGGAGGTGTAGGGAGTCATCACATGTCGGGCCCCCTGTATCCTTCCTGACACAAAAAGGAATTTGACATAACTTACTGTTAATTTTGTAGCAGTTATTCCAGATAAAGAATCAGATAAACTGAGGGCCATGTTACAAGTCTTCTCCTTGACTGCTTGCTCCCAAGAGTCAGATCAGCGTGATGATATACAGCTCTCTGTCTTTGGACCAGCTGAACTGTTTGCCCCACTGACATGTCCACATCCGGGGGGAAGTGGTACAAGGCAGGTGAAGAGGTGCTGGAGTGTTTTGGCACCGGGATGATTTAGGCACACACATGGTCTTGCTGGTGGAGCCGAGCTCCAACACAGGCTGTAAATCCACGGGCCGACTGCTCACATAATCCAGGCTCAGTTTGCTTCTGCTTTATTGTTGTGACCTCTGACCTGCTGAGGACCAGGACGAAACATCAGAATCCCCCCGAGCAAAGTAGGCCGTTTTTTATGCTTGTCCAGGAAATATAAAATTTTTTTGAAGGTTCGTCGGAGCCGACAAGGCAAAGCATGAAAAAGAACTGACGGGCTGCTCTACATCATTAGATTCATTATGTCACGTTTTCTAGGACGAATGCAGGAGGTAGGCATCGCAGCAAAGAGGGTGTTAATGTGTCAAAATTACACTGTTCTATAATCACAGCTGAACAAATCAGTTAAGGTAGTAATGACATTATATTAACAGCAGGAAAGGAAACACAGAATGTTAAATTGGAGTCGGCGTGCTGGGCTGTGTAAATTGACACAGTTGCAGGGTGAGAACGGTTTTTGCAGCTGTTAAAACAAACATTTAGTTCTTCTGAAGTGGATCTGACGACTGAAAGAGCACGTTGAAACATTGTTCAATGTACACGTCATGCCCCCAGTTAATCATTTCCGCGAACAACAATCCCGCTTATTACACCCTACCGGAGTAAGGGCAGAGCCAGTGAATTTCCCCGGTATGCTGGCCGTTACTAATGTTCCCTTGTTGTCAACAGACACATAAGCAGCTCAATTTGGTGATGAATGTGCATTTGTCAGTGCATAGCAAGTAGAACTTATGACTCATGATTTAATCATGCTTGACTGCACATCTTTCCACAAATTACTCTCTTTGTGTTAAATGTGATCCATCACTGCCACATTATGGTGTGTCGGCTTAAGCACCTGAACCTAACTGCATCCTTACATTTCAAAATCCTGCTCTTGCAGTAGTTTAAAAAAAAAAATGTCTTTAATGATTGTAACATTAAATTAAATTGATTACTTTGCTAACATTTCACACACATTTTTCTGTGAAGCCTTTTGTAGCCCTGTCATTTCAGGTTTAGTTTTTTGAGTTTGAACAATGTGTCTTTCTTTTTTTTTTTTGGTGACAGGAAGGATTAAGCATCAGTGTGTTTCTCTGTACCCCTGTGATACCTGACCCGCCTGAGGTCATATGCGGTTGAAGTGGTCCAGTGATCCTCAGGGTCACACGGCGTTGGTGAAACTGAAAGTAATTTGGTTTGGCTGTGCAATTTGTTTCCTATGCCTTCTGGGAAGACTTTAGATAACTGACCAAGTATAAGTTAATATAGTTTCATATTAGAATATTATTAAGGTTAAAGTCCAGAATCGCATAAGTATTAGATCTCCACCAAATCCACTTAAAATTGCTTCTTATCAACAAGACTATATTTTTAGATCCCTGATGGACAGGAGAAACATAGCCAGTGGCATTATTTTAGGTAACAAAGTCCGCAAAGTTCAACATATTTATAGAAAAGTGAATTAAAAGTGCTGTTTGAGCTTTACCTGCTTAATTCATTTGAGCTATTCAGCTCTAAACAGGAGGAATTCAGTGCTTCCCATGAGCTGAGGTTGTTCGGGGGAACCACACATTGGCCTCACTGAAAGGAGCATTTTAAAAATATGCATTATTAAAAGGATATTACCTGACTGGGTAAGTTATGTAGAAACCAAATATGATATTAAAAAAGCAGATAAACTGAACCACTTTAGTAGATTCTCCGGTGATGCAACACAGTTTCTTTTTGTATAAAAAAATACAGCAAATATTAGATGATACAGTCCAAAACAACTCCTGTTTACCCAAAGCGTTTTGTACAAAGTACCCCACAGCTCTGCAGCTTTGTGCATCCATGGTCTTTGTGTGGGAAAAAAAGGTGTTGAAAATCACAAAGAATCTATGAAAGCAACACTGCAAACGTGGTTTGAGTTATAGGATTTTCTCCTGTCACAGAGCCCAGGCCTCGTGTCTCAGTGTTTGATGTTTTTTTCCTGCAGCAACAAGATGTTTAGGGTGATGTCCCAGATCAAGACAAGGGCCTGTCTATGTGCCAGTCTCACATTTAGCCTGCCTTACAGGGGGCATATCTTTGAGCGAGCATATGTTGTAAGAGTGCTTGCATGGAAACCCTGGCGTTGATTTCTGTGATGTTTGGAATATAAAACCACACAGATCTCCCCTTGGAGTCATCCTCCAAGACGGTCAGATGACTTGAAGTGTGTTTGTCTTTGCATAAGAGAGTGAAAGAGTTTTCATAATATACTCATAAAGCCAGCCAGGAGCCAGAAAGCACCCTTGACGAACTTTGAGAGTTTAAAAACAATGTTTATAGAACTCAGAGCCATTAACCACTACATGCTGAAGTCTGTCAGTTAGGAATTCCTGCAGGCCTTTTGAAACTGACGTGCAAGCTTGAAATGACTGGTTGGATCAGTTCAACAATTTATCAGACCTGGGCTTGAGCTTGTCTTTGTACAAAAGCCACTGTGACTTGGTATCATGTGAATGCAAAC